CCATAGTGGTCTCTTCCAATTCTGATTTTATGAAAAGTTTCCGTAATCCAAAGCTTTATGTCACCTGCCACTTCCATTTTTGAGGAAAGAAGGGCTAGTTACACAATTAACCTAACAAGGTTTTTCTAAAGTCTCCATCAGTCCACCACACTCTGAAATGTGATGGAAGAAAGAGAAAGGCAGACAACTCTAGGTTCTCCTGTTGAACTTACAGAAACCTCTGTAAAAAGCATGTGAAGGAAAGCAAGGGAGGAAAAAGTCCTTGAGAAAAACACAAGGGGTTGGGGTTGAATGTGTGACTAGTCCCCTTCCCCCTATCTCACGATGATTATGCAAATACAGGTATTTCAAACATATTTTGGACAAAGGATACTACTCAATCTGTGTGTGTTTGTATAGTTTAGTAACATGATGCCCAGGAGTCACATATAATCTCAAACACTTTCTGCCTCCTCCCCCCCCCCCCAACTTTTGTCGTACTCCAGAGCAGAATCACCTCTGACTTTAAACACCACACCAGCTGGGGAAAATCAGCAATCAGCAAGCAGTTTGTTTAGGAATATAGGTAGCCAAAGCAGTAAATTGTAATTCACAGTAAAAGTAATCCAATTTAATTCATCATATACAAAGGAAGACAGGGACAAAGAGTCCAAGGAAATCTATAAAACTGGGCACTTGAATCCATGAATACAGACGCATATCCCCTAAGTAAAACATGAGCTAGGCAGACCTTGGTGCATGAAACTTGGTGTTATCTCGACGTTGCCTCAACTGAAGCAAACGTCTCTCACAAATCAATATAAAGTCTTCCTTGGCCCTAAAACTGCTAGGAACTGATTCTTTCTTAGTTTTGGTTTACTATCTATCAAGGTGGCCAGTTGAAACATTCACACCTAGCTCCAACAGACAAGAGTTCTTTGTCCCACCCTGGACATTCCACAGATATATAAACCCATTTTTCCTAGTTCCAACAGATCTCACAACTTCTGAGGATACTTGTCATAGATGCAGGCAAAAGGTCAAAAGAGAATACCTTTTGGCCATATGGCCCACAAAAATCTACAATAACCCAGATTTGGTTTTGGCTATCTCTATCTCTGGGGAGATATTTCTGATTGTTTTTTCATGGGAGTGACCTGGTGTAGGGAGCCTGGAGTGCCGTTAAACAGGACCCTGTGCCTTGGCTGTCATGGTATCTAGATCCCATCTAGAGCATCCACCCCCAATAGGTTGGACCAGCAGGTTGTGATCCAGGACCCATGTGTTTCTCCCATCCCTGTTTTCAGCTGTAACCAATTAAACATGTTTGTTATCCCAATTGGTATGTGCCTTATATTTTGTGTCCTGATCAGGAGGGTGAGGTCACTGTGGACATGCAAGTGCATTTAAGACGAGACTGTACAATAATTCCTCATTTCCATACAGTTATCATAATTTTCATCCCCTCTCTCTTTCTCCACACCACCACCTTTAAAAATTAATAAAGACATAAATTCTATCTCTGTCAATCACTATATATATACATTGTCTCCCAAGTAATTATATAATGTCTGTATTTTAATCATAACCTTCAATGCACATGTTTCTAAAATCTCTCTTGATGCAGCAAAAGTTTAAATCTGGAATTGCCTTGATTAATTAGTATAAGTAATAAATGGCTTCCAAACCGTTTCAAAATACATTTTCTTTTATGTCCCCTCTTGCTAGTCTTACCATCTATTTAAATTTTTCTATAATAACTATGGAATGTATCCTATTTTGCCATTTTTATATTGAAAGATTTTCTGATGTTTTCCATGCTTTTGTCATTTCTAATGTTGAAGTGCATAACATAGAGACCATAAGATCCTTCTTTGGCAAGCTTTCATTTTCATTTTCATGTGTGGTAATTAACAAAACTGTCCCTCTGAAATGAACTTTCCTGCCCAACGTTTGACTTAGCCATCCTAATGTATCCTCCCAGAATTTACTGCCTATTTCAGTTGGTCACTCCATCATACATACAATGCAATGCTAGCAGAATAAAAAATGTCAATGTATAAGTTGTTATGTAACAACTATGCTGGACACCGCTCCCGTGCTTTCTGTGAAATCACACAACCGTTAGTAAAAATATGTCAGACTTTGCATAGTATGACATATTTATATATAAGTCGTTAATTCCATAATACTGAACAACACATTTGCCCTATGTCTGAAACCTCTGCCTAGCATAATGACAACACTGTACGTAGGCACATCATTCCATTATATTCCAAGGCATTTAGGGATATTCAACTCGAGGAGTTCCACTCTCTGTTCTGGAGACTTCTGTGCAACTTGCACTCCAGATTCTAATAAGGATAGCTCTGTGCTACTACTGAGTTATTGAATAGGATGAAAAACAAAGCAACCATTTCCAAAGTTCATGTGGACAATGCAGGCCTAGAGCATCCTCCTAAGATTCAAATAGAGAAAATCATCTTACCTTTTATGTGTCTTCTCAGTTGCAATCCCTCTCTCCATATGTCACATATTGCATTAGAAAGTGTAGCAAAGACGAAGATAAGGGGAAATATATAAAATATCTGATGGTGTTTGAGAAGATCCCCAAAGCTATTTCGAAAAGATTTAAACTGCTTCAAATTTAGCAGGGCAGTCTCTGCATATTTCTGCCCTAGACTCATTTTTCTTAGCTCCATATTTAGTTGTTCTTTCACCATCTCCAGCTGCTTCATTTTATTTTGCTTTCGGCAGCTTGTTCATTGTCCACATCACCATTACCAAAACAATCCTCTATTTTTTAATGTGCTAACTTTCTTCATGCTTTTGTCCAAAGCATGAGGTATCATACAAGCATAATTGAGTATAATAAAAAAATTATGAACTATGATAAAATAATTTAAAAGATTTTTTAAAAAGAAAAAAAGAGCTAATCAATATATCTTTACCATTTGTTTTCCACAAACTTTGCCCTCCCAGAGAGGGTCTCTGCAGCTGATTGGTTCTTCACTCTGACCAATCCCTGGCTGCCATTCTCCTTCCAAGCCAAACCCAGCACATATCCTAGCCTGCCTTTTTTTCAGCCAATCAGGCGAGGGAGTAGGAAATCTGAATAGCTATCAGAACCGTATAAGTTATCTCGTATTTCTCTGTATGTTTATGCTTATACATTTTGAAATAAAATTGCTTTACTTGCATGCATCCTTTTTGGCCAAATCGTAATAAACCTCTGTGGCTTGTCTTCAACCTGGTGAGTTGGTTTCTCTTTCCTGGCCTATCTGGTTTATCTTATGCTCTCCAGGCATGGACTCTCTAACCGCAATCCTATTTATTTATTTATTTATTTATTTATTTATTTATTTATTTATTTATTTATGGCATTTGTAGCCTGCCTTTCTCAGCCTTAAATTGGCAAAATTTGATGCCATACATTCATAAAGTACAATTAAAAACATTCAACCTAATATTTTAAAAACCATATAAACCATTAAAACACATCATATTCTAGCTAAATCACTACATAAAAACAAAATTTATTTATGTTTCATTTACCCATTATACACATAGCATGAAAGTCTTTTTTTTAGAGCATTTTAAGACTTTTGTAATGAAACAAAGTTAGTATGCATTGAACCATCCAAAAGCAAAGGTCTCACTATCTTAGTCATCAATGTCGACAATTTTGGGTTTCGGAGAATTTCAAGTTCTGGGTTTCTGAGTACTCAAACTGTGCCAAAATCAAAACCAATTAGCATTGATAACAACCATATAGTAAATAAATAACAAAAATATAAATCTATGCTACTTTGTGTAATACCACAGATATTAATGGAAAAGGGAAGAGACTAATTTCTATGAAGTAAATAAAAATAATCTTCATAAGTTACCAAATCAGTCTTTATTTCAAGAAGGCAACATCGGTTCTCCACCATTAAACTAAAAATGTTACTGGCAACCACAAGCACCCAATTGTGTTAGCTCCATCTCTCTCACTCAAGGAGGTAAATATACATTCAAATCCACACAATGTTCATATTTTTGATACAATTCAGAGTCTGTCTACCCAGCAATGCTTCCATCACTGTCTTCAGGGTGCCAATGGTCAGTGTCTTCAATCAATCAAGGTCAAGGACTGATGACCATGAGTCCCATCCATAGGGGTCAAAGTCTACTTGAATAGCCCTATGCTTCATATTCCTCTTTACCTCTCTTGTCTGGGCTTAACTCCCAAACATTAATCTGGATCAGCCTTAACACTGAAGTAGGGATAACATTTCAGTCTCAGGAAGGAAAACGGGACACTGGTCTCCTAGCTATACAATATATTGTGGCAAAATCTAACAGCAGGCCTGCACCATTTTCATGCCGCTGTTTCAGAGTTTAAAGCATATTCCAAAAAAAGCAACTCATACTTCATGATCTCATTTTCAAAATATCATTTCAGCATTGCTCATTCTATTGAAAAACAATTTTCTGTTAAAGCATTTTCAATGTGTTTTTAATATGTGCTCTGATAATGTTCCAAATCTCAAAAATGACATTGGTTTATTGGAAACAATAACTAAATGCATGTTGCACTTAAGAAAATCAAGCAATGGCAATACTGACTTGTTTTCCATAACATTGTTATGCCTATATTAATTCAGAAAGTAATATCTTACAGGTAGTGTTATTTGTAACATGTTGCCCTAGTGGTATGCGTTAAACTGAACACCATTCAACAGCATTTAACTCCATTTCATAAGCAGCAATGACTTGCTGGTTTGGGAGATCACAAATTCCATTGCTATATTTAGCACGTGTATTCAACATTCTTTAAAGCTAATAATCATTTACAAGTAGAGGGAGAGGAATTCAACACTTTCTATTCAACTCACCACTAAAGACTGTTTCCTTTAACAAAACCTTTGGAGACAAAGTCCTCTTGTTCAAGTGGCAAACATAAAATTTCTCTCTCAAAAACAAATATGCAAACTATCCAGCAATAAGGAAGCAGAATTCAACCAAGCAGGACTTACCAGGCTGTCTTTTAAGGGTCAACACGCACAGTATTCACTGAAGCCTGTGGAAAGAAAGAAGAAAAGCAAACCTTAGTCACCAGATCCAACTGATCCTGTAAGGTGGGCATTGGTTAGTTCTTCAAAGGGAGACCACCAATTAATACCAGAGACTGTAGGTTATATTTCAAAGAGAATGAACTGGTAAGAGCGCCTCTTTGCCTAAGAAAACATTATGAAATTAATGGTGACACCAGAATCATAGAATCAGAGTTGGAAGAAATATACGGCCTGTCTGGAAGGACCCTCAGCTTCAAAGCAAGGCAATAGCAAATATCTTCTAAACTTATTTTTGCAAGGAATCCCTGTGACAGGTCACGGTAGTCCATGCTCTGGTTACATCCCGTATAGACTACTGCAATGCTCTCTACATGGGGTTGCCTTTGCAGACTCTTCAGAAGCTACAAATGGTCCAACAGGCGGCAGCCAGGGTGTTAACAGTAGCGGCGCTCAGGGACCACACAACTCCTCTGTTGAGCCAGCTCCACTGGCTGACAGTCTCCTACAGAGCACAATTCAAGGTGCTAGCTTTAGCTTATAAAGCCCTAAACGGTTCTGGCCCAACTTACCTGTCCGAACGTATATCTCCTTATGAACCATCTAGGACTCTAAGATCATCTTGGGGGGGGGGCTGCTCTCGGTCCCGCCTTCTTCACAGATTCGGTTGGTAGGAAGGAGGGACAGGGCCTTCTCAGCAGTGGCCCCTCAACTATGGAACACCCTCCCTAGGGATATCAGATCGGCTTCCACCCTCGTAACATTTCGCAAAACAGTTAAAACCTGGCTTTTTGGGCAAGCTTTCCCAAATGCAGTGTAGCAGACAAACTCTGATCTACGGAATGACTGGACAATGTGATTGGATAATGATTTTAGTAATGCGACGCTGAGGATTTATACTTTTATCGGTTTTATTATTTTATCTAATGTTATTTATGCAAAATGTTTTAATTGTTATTGGAAGCATCAAATTGTGTCGTTTGTAAACTGCCCTGAGACGCCCTCGGGCTGAGAAAGGCGGTATATAAATATGGCAAATAAATAAATAAATAAATAAATAAATATGTCTTAAAATCACTACATTTTGGAAAGGAGTTAAAGGCACACAACATGCAATGACCAAATGTGTGAGAGAACTTACACAAGTGAAGGACACTAATAAGAATTTATTTATTTATTTATTTATTTATTTAGAACTTTTATATACTGGTCTTCTCAACCTCCGCAGAGGGACTCACTTGGGCAACAATTGTTTCTTTCTTTGTATTGTCGAAGGCTTTCATGGCCGGAATCACTGGGTTGTTGTAGGTTTTCCGGGCTATATGGCCATGTTCTAGAGGCATTTTCTCCTGACGTTTTGCCTGCATCTATGGCAAGCATCCTCAGAGGTAGTGAGGTCTGTTGGAAGTAGGAAAATGGGTTTATATATCTGTGGAATGACCAGGGTGGGACAAAGGACTTATGTCTGCTGGAGCTAGGTGTGAATGTTTCAACTGACCACCTTGATTAGCATTTAATGGCTTGGAAGTGCCTGGGGGAATCTTTTGTTGAGAGTGATTTGATGTGCCTGATGTACTCCTCTCTGTTGTTGTGCTGTTGTAATTTTTGAGTTTTTAATACTTGTAGCCAGATTTTGTTCATTTTCATGGTTTCCTCCTTTCTGTTGAAATCCAGCTTGTGGATTTCAATGGCTTCTCTGTGTAGCCTGACATGGTGGTTGTGAGAGTGGTCCAGCATTTCTGTGTTCTCAAATAATATGCTGTGTCCAGGTTGGTTCATCATCAAAGGTTTAAAACATTACATCTCATAATATACTAATACATTAAAATACAATCATATAATTACACAAGGCCAAGTCGTCAGAATGAAGTCACAATTCATCGCCATCCATCTGTGTGGTCAGGAGTTATTGACACACTCATCAAATGCCAAATTCCAGAGCCAAGTTTTCACCAGTTTTCTAAAAGTCAGGAGAGAAGGGGCAGTTCTAATCTCCAGTGGGAGAGAGTTCCAAAGCCGAGGGGCCACCACCGAGAAGGCCCTGTCCCTCGTCCCCACCAGACGCGATTGCGAGGGTGGTGGGACCAAGAGCAGGGCCCCTCCAGAAGATCTTAACAACCTTGATGGTTCATAGGGGAGAATCCGTTCGGACAGGTAAACTGGGCCGGAGTCGTTTAGGGATTTATAGGTCAACACCAGCACTTTGAATTGGCAGCCAGTGGAGCTGGCGCAACAGAGGAGTAGTACTCCCTGTACCCCGCTCCTGTTAGTAATCTGGTTGTGCTCGGAAGCTAATTGGCAGCCAGTGGAGCTGGTGCAACAGAGTAGTAGTATGCTCCCTGTACCCCGCTCCTGTTAGTAATCTGGTTGCCGCACGTTGGACTAACTGCAGCTTCCAGGCAGTCTTCAGAGGCAACCCAACGTAGAGAGCGTTTCAGTAGTCTATACAGGATGTAACCAGAGCGTGGACCACCATGGACAAGTCAGACTTCTAACCAAGTTCTTTAAAAAATTCTCTATATAGTAAACAATCCATATTTATTTCACGTCCAAGACCCATCCACAGTATCCACTTGAACACACTAATGATAGTATTTGCAACATTCTCCTGTGGTTGCTTATTCAAATACACTAGGATATCTGTTCCTTTGAAATACAAGAAAAGAATAAGATTTTTTTAAAAACACACACAAGCCTATTATTTCTGAATGTAAGGTACTACAAGAGCAAAAGAGAAGATGAAGTGTTTTTATAGATGCAGTTTAAGCAGTAAGAACATTATAGCTATATTAAAGAGGAGGGAGAAGAGAATCTGGCACTACGTGGAATTTAATCCCAGCTGTGTTTTACCTTAATACCACTCCACATGGCAGTTCTGTCTTCTGTGCAGGGAGGCTTAAATACCTTTAGCTAAGGTGGGGGGGGGGGGGGGTTCCACTTCCAGCTACTTTAGAAGCACATAATGACAGGCAATATCCTGATCCGCATTAGTCATTTGCAAACATGGCTAAGCCCAATGGGATTTCATGCTATTCAGATTGGTTTTCTCGCAGAGGGGTAGCAAGCAATTGTTTCTTGTTATATTTAAGGAAGGTTTTAGAGAAGTATTCCCAACCAGGTCCACAGAGAATCTGTGTCTGGCTCTCTGCAACTATTTAAAAGAACGTGATACTGGTGCCATAGTCTTGTTTAGGTTCTGATAACAATGTGTAACACAATTTTTGTTCCTGGGTTATAAATATAATTTCCTAATTGGTTCGATCATAAAAACATGGAAAATGTTTATTAAACTGTATAAACTTTGGGTTGTTGTGGATTTTCCGTGCTGTATGGCCACATTCCAGAAGCRTTCTCTCCTGACGTTMATTTGCATCTATGGCAGGGATCCTCAGAGGTTGTGAGGTCTGTTGGAAACTAGGAAAATTGGGTTTATATATCTGTGGAAGGTCCAGGGTGGGATAAAGAATTCTTGTCTGTTTGAGGTAGGTGTGAACGTTTAAATTGGCCACCTTGATTAGAATGCAAAGGCCTAGCAGTTTCAAGGTCTGGCGTCTTACTGCCTGGGGGAATCCTTTGTTGGGAGGTGATTAGCTGGCCCTGATYGTTTCTTGTCTAGAATTCCCCAATTTTTGWGTGTTGTTCTTTATTTACTGTTATAAACTTTGTTTCTGCAGGACATCCTGCAGCACATTTGCTATAGTTTTTCAATGAATAGTTTCAACCAATTCAACATAGCCACAAAAAAATGAGGTTTCTGGAACAGAACAACTACTTTCAAACAGGAAACAACACAAGCCAGGAACAGACTTTTTTTTTCAAATTTTATTACATAATGCAATTATAGAGCTCCCCCCCCCCCCATTATGTAACATTTCAAATGCAGTTGTCCCTTTTTGGATGGTATAGTAAAATTTCCATATCCACAAAGGATATATTCCCAGTTAGGTCATGGTTACCTGAAACTGTAGGTATAACCAAATGCCATTAAAGTAGCTAACTACTAATCCCAATATACTATAGGGTTGTCTTGGAAGACCTAGAGATTCTCAGAGTGTAACCTCTAAGAATTTGCTAGATCCTTGAGTGACTTGAATGAGTATGTTTATGCCATATAATTGCTCGGAGGACTTAGCAAGTAACTGAGAGAGACCTTTCACCCTGTGTGTTGATAAGTGAAACATAGGTATGGATTTCACAGTTACAGGCGTCTTACTGCGTTTGGCAATGTTTTCAGTATTCCAAATTCTTTGTTGGGATTGCAGAAACATCTGCTGTGTATTTCCCATTGCACAATGGTACTTACTCAATGTCAGTATTCAACAGAGGGATGTATAGCAGTGGTTCTCAACCTGGGGTCCCCAGATGTTTTTGGCCTTCAACTCCCAGAAGTCCTAATAACTGGCTAGGATTTCTGGGAGTTGTAGGCCAAAACACCTGGGGACCCACAGGTTGAGAACCACTGATGTATAGGCAATTGTCATGTAACTATCATCAGGGACCGGGCTGTGGCGTAGCTGGTTGGGAGTCTGTTGCATTACAATCACTATGAAAAGTCATGAGTTGGAAGCCAGCCCAGGTCGGAGTAAGTTCCCAACCATTTCTCCAGCTTGCTGTCGACCTCTGCAGCCCAAAAAACAGTTGCATCTGTCAAGTAGGAAATTTAGGTACCTTATTTACACTTAGGATGGGGTCTCTCAGTTTCACCCATAATACATGATTTCAGTGACATTGAGGAGTGGGCGTTCCTATGGGTGGTCTCCAACTGAGCATTGGTGATCCATTTCTCTCCCAGAATCCTGTTGCATAATCCTGACTGTGAGAGCGGTTCAGCAGTGGAACTTTCTACCCTGAAATGTGGTGGAGGCTCCTTCTATGGAGGCTTTTATGCAGAGGCTGGATGGTCATCTGTTGGGGGTGCTTTGAAGATGATTTTCCTGCTTCTTTGCAGGGGTTGGACTGGATGGCCCAGGAGGTCTCTTCCAACTCTATGATTCTATGCTTCTATGAC